TGCGATGGCAGGGTGATGATGGCACCACAAACAGGTGTTTTCTATGTTACAGTGTGTTTGGTAGCTGGTACAAGTGGATTGTTCTTTGCCTTTGAGTAAGTTCTTTTTGATTACTCTATGTGTTTTGCATTGCGATGAATATTTGGATTCCTTTTAAAAAATATCTATGATTCGTGATTGGCACGTTGTCCATTAAAAATTATATTATTCTTTTCTTTTTATTTTCTTTTTTGGTTTTCCTTAAATATTTTTATTCATATTTTACAGTTGTCCATTTTTGGCTGTGCATATAACACCTGCAATCCCGGTAATAGGTGGATTATTATTCGTATTTGTAATGTCTGCCTTGTTTCGAACAAGCTTTAGTGATCCTGGTGTTATTCCAAGAGCAACACCTGATGAAGCTGCTTATATAGAAAAACAGATTGGTACGAGTATGAACATATGTGAATATATTTTATAAAATCTTTATTTTTTGGAAAAATTCAGATTATTCTGAATATTTGCATAGCTTTGTTCATTCTAAACATAAATATCAATGTAGTTATAGATTTTTTTTTTTTTTTTTTTTTTTTTACGACAATATCCAGCTTGTGAATATTTTGTTAAGTATTTACCTATTTATGTCTTTTGCATGTGCTGATACAGAAGTACCAAATAATGGTAATTCTAAAACATATAGACCACCTCCAAGAACGAAAGAAGTATTGGTACGAGGACAGCCCGTAAAGTTAAAATATTGCTTTACTTGTAAGATATTTAGACCACCAAGAGCCTCGCACTGTAGCTTATGCGATAATTGTGTAGGTAGGTTCAAAAATTTTAGTATATATTTAGCGTTTCTTTTATACCTGTCCTTAATTTTTCAATAATTTGGTTAATGTGTATATGTATATATATATATATATATATATATATATATATACAATCATTAATATCAATACATATTTTATTTTCAATTATTCCAGAAAGATTTGATCATCATTGTCCGTGGGTTGGCAATTGTGTTGGTAGAAGAAATTATAGATATTTTTATGCTTTTATAGTTTCTTTAGCATTCCTATGTGTTTTTATATTTGCCTGTGCTGTTACACATTTAATAATGCGTGAGTATTTTTATGCTGAAAAAAAAAGGTAATATTAAAATATCTTACAACAATTGTTTGTTTTTATTAAATTTAGTTACAAGAGATGACAGACCATTTTTAGAAGCTGTCAGATTATCTCCTGGTAGTGTCATTGTAGGAGTGATATGTTTTTTTTCCGCTTGGAGTATTTTGGGTCTTGCTGGCTTTCACACATATTTAGCCACGAGTAATCAGACAACTAATGAAGACGTGAGTATACTAAAAATTGCAAATTGTCAATAACTAAAGATAGATATATTAATTTCTATCATATTTACAGATCAAAGGTTCTTTCACAAGTAAAATCGGCCAAGAGAGTTTTAATCCTTATAGTCGAGGAAATATTTGCGGAAATTGTTTTTATGTCTTATGCGGTCCTTCACCTCCAAGTTTAATTGGTAATTTTCATTAAATTTTTTGATTTGTTATCAATCTATAAAATACATTTATATTCATCTGTACGCAGATCGTAGAGGAATAGTTACACCCGAGTATCGTGCAGAACAGGAACGAGTTTCTGATGAAAATGTGATAGCTAATAATAAATCATATGGAACTGTAAAGATTGTGCAACCACAGGTAAGATGGTTTATTAAAATATTTATATAATATTTAAAGAAAATAAAGTATTTAACTCTGAATTGTATAATTTATAGTCCAATGGAACAGGCATGCAGACAAATGTTCCCACAGAACTTACGGATTCTATGAACAATCTTGTTACTGGTCGATACTCTCCAAGATTAGAATCTATTAATGGTGAGTTGTCTCTTTTACGGCATCCTTCTCGCTGTACTGATGATCTTCCCAAATATTCTCATCAGTATATCAGTGATATTTATGTTCCACCATATCCTATGCAACATTGTCCTCAAGATTCTACAAAACATATGAAATATAATGTAAATGATAGGATAAATCCAGAATTTCAAAAAGGTATACATAAATATCCTCATAGATGTAGAGAAGAGTATCACAGATGTTCAGATAATAATCTCATATATGATCAGTGCATACAAGATCACAAATATGCAATTGATCTTCAAAAATATCCGCAAAGGTATTCGGAGGATATATTGCAATATAAAATTGATGAAAAAAATGGTTACTCTGATTTACAAAAATTTCCTCAGTGTCGTTCCGAAGATCCTTTACGAATCCCTCAGGCTCATCATACTATGAAGTACAACAATTTAAGATGCACTGATCATGGTATAAAATATCCAATACCGAAAAATATATTACCAGCACGTATATTAGGTGCTACTGGTATACCGATTCAAGCAATAGGGCTTATAGATAGTCGTTTTGGTTCAAATCCATTAAGTAATAATTTATCATATGTTGACAATTCATTTTGTCCTAACGATAGTACAGAAGAAGATCTTTTAAATCGACGATTTATCATGAATTCTATGAGTGATAATGATGATATTTAACATTCATTATAGACAATGCATTTTCATTATGCATTAGTAAATATTAATAAAGCTGCAAAACAGCTTTACAACATTCAGCCTCGCCTTTGTAACATGTAATATGATTGCAGCATAGCTGGCAATAATAATAAGGTAATCATAACATTGGATATAATGTTGTATCCAAATGGCACTGGTAGTATTTTCTTAAAAACAAAAAATTGTAGTGCATTAATACAATGTGCAATGTATCAAATTATCATCTTGTTGTTAGAAGCAATTTATGATATATTATTAAACAGAGCTGTGTATATAGTAAATAATACATTTATAAATAATTTTTTTGTAAAATATCAAGTATTCTTTCAAACGTTTATATACGCATTTAATTCGTATAAGAAATTTTTTTGAATGTTAATATTACAAAAAAATGATAAACTTTCGTATTATTTTTTTTTCTTTTTATTTTATTTTTTATTTTCTTTTTTCTTTTTTTTCCTTTTTTTTTTACATTATTTGATTCATTTTGATATTGTACTTTTGAGAATATATATATATATATATATATATATATATATATATATATATATATATATATATATATGTATGTATGTATAAATATCATTTGTATTGTTACTGAATTTCTATTTATCATTAGGAAGGTCTTTATCCGAAAAGGTGCTTTTCTGCCAATTATATTTTTTAGATTTTTTCTGTAGGATTTAACAATATTTTTATTGGTTACTAATGCTTTTGTTAAATTATTCGATAACAATTCAATGAATCATTTTTCTTTGTTCAAATTACATCCTGTTATCGAGGGCTCAGAGAATTCCATTTGGTAAGTTTACTTTCTTACATCTGAACTAAGTGTATGTTCTAATAAATGAATGGGTTGGCATTATTAATGACTTTACTAAATCACTGTGCCACATCTATTATTTTTTCTGTCACGCGAAACTAATTTTAGAATATTGTTATAATTCAGATATTAGTAATATACACATTGGCTTCTTTCTTGTAAAAAGATTAACAAAAGAGATTAATGAATTTTTATTATAGATAAATATAGCTTTGTATATATAAATAATATCGGTGTTCAGTTTTATTGTTAGTTTCTTTACATAGAAATAAAATATATCCGAAGTTTTCGTTATGCACGGGATATAGATATCACTTATTAGTAAATCATATAAGTATAAAATCCAAGTTATATTATTATTATTATTATTATTATTATTATTATTATTATTATATATATATATATATATATATATATAATAAAATTACTTGAAATATTTTTTATATTTGAAAAAGAAAACAGTGGTGATGGAGGAATCTAACTATATAAAGGTATTTGTATATCTGAGAATGAGCACATTCTGTTTTCTTTATAAATAAAACAATAATATAAAATTCACACACTATCAACACATACACTGTACAAAGTCGTGTGAATTAAAACATAATAAATTAATGTATGATTATGCTTACATAAGTTGTACATTGCAAAGGTACAGAATAACTTGTATATATTTTGATATTTATTTCATGATATACCTTCCATATTATTATACAATATATATACATATTTTTCTTTTGGATAAAATATGAAGAAATTATTTAAATTTTATTGCTCATCTTTTTCTAGGTAGTACTACGAATAGTGTAAGTCAGCTAGTTACCAACGAAGTACCATTAGCATCGCTCAATATTGCTCCAATTGATATTGACGAAATTGCTCCACTTCCTCCGCGTCCAAATGTTGCGGTTTCTTCTACATTGGATACCACTTCAATACCATCAGTAACTGTGACTACTCCATTGTCTGCATCCAGGCTTAGATTATTACAAGACACGACTATGATCGAATCTGCTTTAGATTTAGATTCATTGGAAGATGCAAGTGTTGGTAGAGGAAGCCAAGTAGGCCTTATCAAAATGGGAGCAGTATCATAATTCAATCTATTTTTATTATTAACTTAATTTACATATACATTACACAGACATTTTTTTCATTTGATAAATAGAAAAAAATTTTTCTTTTTTTTTTAGCATTAATTGGAGTATCTACCAGTTATTATACATACACACATCACATACAGATATATAGATATCACATATATATATATATTATATATATTTTTCTAGATATATATATTTATATATATATATATTTAGAAAAGATATCAAACTTTAGGCCTATTTGTATGATATATAAGTATGTGTAGTAATTGCAGTGAATTAGTAAGTGTTGTTCTCTACAATCAAAGATTACCAATTTTTGTGATTTATACAAAATAGTAGATTTGAAAATATTAAAAAAAAAAAAAGCTCAATTTTATATCTCATAGCCACAGGGACCTGGATACAATATTAACATTAAACTGATAATAGTTTTTCTTATTCATATTTACATATTATATTAGGTTAATCATAATGAAACACACACACACACACACACACACATATATATAAACTGAACGAATACAGATGTTTACAAACATTTCTTGATGATTTCTGTGGCAAACTGGTATTTTTTAGATTCATTGAAGCGGCACTATTTACTACTTACATTTAATTACTCTAACTTTTTTATTTTTTATACAAATATTGGCTCTTATGACAGATTAGTACATGTTTATACAAATTTTCTGATTTGCGCTTCTTATATGCACTTATAGTATTGATTGTTACACTTTGTGGAGTGCATATATAAGATTAAGTGTAAGTATGACACACAAATGTTTACTATTGAACTTTTTTATGATAACACTTTAAAATGATGTCTTTCCAATAGAATTACTGTGTACAGTGTAAAAATCATTTGTAAATACAATAAGTATAAGCATAATAATATAAAATTTAAGCATTTAAAAAATTTACTAAAATGATGCCCTGTTGGTATCAAGCATTTAAAAAAAATAGAAATAATATGATTACCACTGCCTTATTTATGAATAACTTTATTAATAACAGCATCTTGTTATTTGATTTGGCATGGTCATGGAACATATTATTTACATAGATAGTTAAATACTAAATGATATATGAGGAATATTATATTATATATAATGTATATTACATAAAAAAAATTGCAATTACAATGATCGTATATATTCTGTTTTTGTATATAATACATGTATATGACATTCTGTATATATATACATATATGTATATATATATGAATATACTATGTAGATGTATCTTTAAAAAATTATAATATAGTGCAATTTGAGAAAGATTTGGTGACTATTTTTTATATAGAATTCAATATAGGATTTTCACATAAACTGTGTATAACATTCTTGTGTGTGTGTCTATATATATATATATATATATATATAAATATATATATATAAAATATGTACTTACACATATATATAACATATGCATATAAAGAAAATCACTCTTTCTTTGTATTTAATTAATACATATGATGGAAAACAATTGCAGCCACAATTATGAAAACTGTTATACTTAAGCCAATAATATGTAGGGTAGTTAGATGATTCTCTATTTTTTCAGTGTTTATAGGTATAGTAGGGGGACCACACTGACAAGTATCTATGGCTTCTGTATTAATATAAATAATCAGTACTATTATTTTCATATTTAGCAAATAATAATAATAATTGCAATAAGTTACCTGCATGACATTCTATTTCTTTTTGGATATCCAAATCCTCAACATCTACATCTAATAGTTCTTGCAAGTATACCAATGCTTCTTGTGGTTCTTCACCAGGAAACAGGTAACTTGATAATGTTACTCTACTTTTATGCAAGTGTATCAATATTCTTCTTGGAGGTTCATGCAATGTTATATTTTCTAAAACAAAAAATAGATTTTAATAAGAAGAATGAAGATATATATATAAATGATATTATTATATATAAATTATAATTTCATAATAAAACAAATGAACCTTCAGGAGAACCATCTTCCTCTTCAATCAAACTGTCCACGTGCATTTCTAATCTACTGGCTAATGATCTTACTATGTCTTGTTTTATTGCTGCAGTAGCTTCTTCAATATTTGTTTTGCCAGTTACAAATATTTTACTAACCAATTGACCTATTAACCATATTGATTCGCTACTAGGTTTTACTTTTGCATCCGTAGAAGCTGATTTCTCCTGTAAATAACCGCAAAAAACAATTTTATAAAATCATATTAGCTGCAAACTGTAAATTGTATCGCATTACTTACACAAGGAATGTACAAATCAACTTCAAGTTGATTTTTATTATCTTCATTTGCAATTATCGTTTCAATTGCATCATCAGACGATCTAATTTTTCCTGCTATCATAACAAGTGCAGAATCTATCATATTTGATACATCTTCCAATATCTCCTATAATTCAACACACAATATATTTTCCTTTATATATATACACATATATATATATATATATATATATATATATATATATACATACGAGAAATATCATTATATTTAAAATTGTTTGTACCTGCAATTGTTGTTTAAGCGATTCAGGTTCTTTGTTTGTAGCTATACAAAACATTCTGTCTAAATTTACAGCAGTTTCAAGTTCAAGCCAAGGAATACTCTGAGCTCGAAACTTGATATCTATTGGTTTTAATATACCATTTTTTATATCATCCACCATTTTACAGACATATCTGTGAATTAAAAACTGAAATGTAGATAGAATTAAAATTGGATTAAATCAATTTATCTATTAGCCAATTTACACAAATATATGTCTGTTGTAAGATTAGATGGAGAGTAAGACAAAGCTTAAAAAAAATTCTTTACCTTTGCGTTATACTGTTGTAAGTTAATATAAAATTGTGCTGATTGTTTCCATGAAGATACTTATTCGATAAAAAATTTCTTTGAATTGTAAGAAGAATTGATCTAAACTTATGTACATTAACATTATTATCTAAAGTATCCTCAGGTCCAGCCAGAAATATACCAAGTATACGCATTCCACCAGGTAACATTCTTGTGACCTTTATTTGAAAAATAACATATGAAAAATATTTGGATTTTAGCTGATATCTAAAATGAAACTTAATACTCACATCGTTGGCATGATCTGCGAGCCAACTTTCTGGTATATCTCGAATGGATTTGAAACATTTTTTTAAATTATTCTCATCCGTATCTTCCGAACAACTTATCAATGTTTCTTCCACAACATTTCTAGTACGCGGTGGTGGTGTTCTTGCTAAATGTACTAAATAATCTTCTTTTTCTAAACTCTAAAATATATGTTATTTTTACATTTTTTTGTATTAACAATAATAATGAATAAATATTCAAAGGATCAAAGTAAACTTTTTAACGGACATTATTAATAATGATATAGTCATATTTAAAAATATTCTTTCATACCTGTGTAAGTATGACATATGTTAGATCCAAAGAAAAGTGAACGATTGAGAAAGGGTTAAAAAATTATCAAGAACAAATTGTCGCACCTGTCCTAAAATTAATCCCACTTCGTATCCTAACGTCCCGAAGGATGTTAAACGAGAACGAACAGATGCTTCGGATATTACAGTACGTCCCATTTTCTTTTGTTTTTTTCTTTTTTTTTTTTTCTATACCACGTATTAAATAAATAATCTGGCGCGCTTTTAACTCTCTTACTGACGACTACGCAAATTTCTTCTTTGATTTATGATATCGAATAATAATTTCGTATCAAATCGTTACATATAAAATAAATAATTTATTTAATTTAGACGAATGAATGAAAAATCTGATCTCTGAAAGAAGAATTTATATCGTAATATTAAAGATATACAACTTTATAGAATTGATTATCGTAGTCTTTGAGCACCACCTAGCGACGAAATGTATAAATAAATTTGAGTAGGTCATCCCTGATAATAGGCAATAAATTTACATACGTGTAAGAAGTAGCCCCTGCTTGCATATTTATGTTTAATAATTTAAAATCGTATATTTTTAATGTTTAATTAGATTGATAAAGAATATATATTGTTAGAAGATTATTAATAATATTTGTTTTTGATATTATTCTTATATTAAGTATACGATATAAATAAATGTTTGTTTGCCTTTTGGTTTCTAAGCAACGTAGTAATATCTAACCACTGCTGTCTGTCAAAGTATGCAGTAGACTACTGCGTAGATAAATTCTGCGTATGTTTATTGAAGGTGTAAAAAATATAATAAAATATTCTTTTGTTGCTATGTTTTCAACAGATGTCAATCATGAGTCCAATGATCGGTCAATTTTTGAAGAGCAACAAGCTAAACTACAAAAGATTCAGGAGCTTACGAATATGTTAAAGGTTAATATTTAATATAATTGTAAAATAGAATTTAGTGCAATTAAGTTAAAAAATAAATAAGTAAATACATAAAAATTATGTTATATATATTTTTATAGGACACTGATAAAAACTTAACAATATGCGAGGAAATACTGATAACTTACTTGAGGAAACGATTGAAGGTATGTATAAAAAAAAGTTTTCAATTATATCGATTGTTTCTATGAATCCATATTTTATTTATTTGTCGCAGCATGCGACATATAAATGAATTAGTTAACATATATATCTATGTATATATATATGTATATATATATAAACATGATGATTTTACGAACAATGATATTGAACTTATTCACTAGTTAACTTTACATGTTAAAATTTAACTAGAGGATCGTCATTTTCACTTATTTTCGATCAACTTGATCTTCTAATTACTTTCCTTTCATTTAAGATGTAAACATAATTATGAATTAAAGTTCTCTTCGATAGTTAGACATCATTATAGAGAATATGATGACGCACATGTATTTTTTTAATGATAATCTCCTCATGTTTCATAGATTACCATTTTTTGTACCATCCACCATGACCATACCAACCTCCATAACCACCGTACCACCAAGGCCAGCCAGGATACCAACCACCATACCATCCACCACCCCATCCACCACCCCATCCACCATACCTAAAAAATATAAAAAAAGAATTAAAAAAAAAAAGAAAAAAGAAAAAAAAAAGAAATTTATAGATTTGTTATTCTAATCGAGAAAGAGATTCTCACCAAGGCCAACCATAACCACCATAACCACCATAACCACCTCCCCAAGGACCCCAACCAAAGCTTCTCTTTGTTAATTTTCTGTTGGCTTCGCCTTCTTGATTGTTTGGTTGTACTTGGAGTATCGTTGTTGCTTGCTGTTCTATCTCCTTATTATCGTTAGATCTCGTAGAGATAATTGTTTCCTGGCCAAAGACCAGAATGATCAATCCAAGAAGCAACTAAATAAAATCAAACAGATATTAAAATACGACATTATCTATTTACCTGACATACATATCTCGTAATTTAATTGTTTTCTTTAATCCTTCTATTCACAAAAGACTTCTTACCAATAGCTTCATATTAAGATACGTGTACTGTTGAACTAACGTGAACACGGAAAGTTGACACTTCTTTTATACCAAGTTGTTGTCATGTAACTCGTTCCATCAGGATACGGTAAATTCTAAGGTCTGTGTGTATTTACATTCATCTAATGTGGCTAACAAGATCGTGAAACTGGTCCTATCTAGAGAATAGTATTGAACCACGTAATCACCTGTATCAAAGACTGATCATTTAAAGATTTGATTTAAAGGTGGAGACTTGAACGCGGAATTCAATTCGTCTACGTATATATATCGGTATCTTGTTTCAAACGTAAAAATCCATATTTGTCGATAGAATAATAATAATATTATAAATATAACCTGACAGAAGCAAAATATTCGAATTTGTTTATTAAAAATAATATTAAATAAAAAATAAAAATTACATCAAATTAAATTTGATTCGATCGAACGTAAAACGAATAAACTGCGATAGTAATCCTCGAATAAATTTATTTATTTATTTAATTATTTGTTTTTATTTTTTTTTTCTCTTACAAGTTGTATCGGAGTTTCTGTTTTATCAGAATATAGAGAGCTAGTTTTTTTTTTCTTCTCTTTCCTTCTTTGATTCCGGGAGGTTTTGTAGCACCGGATTAGGAAACTGATATCCACACAGGCGGGCACACAGCCAGTGGCGCAAACTTTCTCCAACTAGGAGAATAAGTTAAATAGCTGCGATGCTTACGAAAGTCGATTCGGAAGGTAGCCGATTGAACGTAATTCGTTCTTCAGGCAGACATTCATAATCGAGAAAAAGACCAGGGCATGGCAATTCGTACGTTTCGAATCGTTGAACGTCATTTATGTCAAACTTTCGCAAAACATCGTGAATGTCTCTTCCTTTTTTTTTTTTTCCTTTCTTTTTTCCTTCCATTATTACCGAAGCAAAATGATGTAATTCCAGAATGTAAGAACAGAAATATCCATCCACAATCGTCGTCATCGGGGTCGTTCCTTTCGATCAATCTAGAAAAAAAATTTAATTACTTTCTTCGGAGTTTTTCTCTCACGTTTTTCTATAATTTCCAATAAATGATAATAAATAAATCGACTTTCGCTCGATTACGATGAAAAACCAAGTGAAATTAAATATCTTTCCCTATTTTTCCTATTCGTCGTTTGAATCTATGATCAATAGAAAACATTATTGAATATATAAATAAATATATAGATTAAAATTGTACTTAGAGTTTAGAGAAAGAGAGAGCACGAGAAGGGGAAAGTTTCCTTCTCGAGAATGTTCTTTCTTAACAACCAAAAAATTATTATAGAATATAAGTTTCGCACAGATAGATTTTATGAGTGGGACTACGAAATTAAGAAAAAGTTCTTTTGTTAAGCCAACCGTGATATATAACATTTTATGCTATTCAAGAAAAGTCGATATAGCTAGTTCGTCAGTCTTAAAAGTTTCCCTTTGGACGTAGTAAGTACATCGTGCCGCTTCAGTTGTTGCAAATCAACAAGTGGATGCGTGTAATTGAAGAGAAACTCTCTCGACATTTCTTTCCGATATTATGCAAAATTTTGTTCTCTCTAATCATATACCATTCCTCAGTTCTAAGATTGACGTCGACTCGTGAACATTACATTTCTAATATTCGAATAGAATTATTGTCAAATTAATTCTCTTCGTTGGCTTGTCGTTCGAACATTCAAATGTTTGATAATTCTTTATGAAAAATCTGTGCATTATTTGTTTCTTCTTTATATCCTTCGTGAAACATCATTCGAAGTGAGTGAAATTATCCCAGAAAGATATATATTATAAACGTTAAAGTGTACTGCCATGTCGTTCAATGTGTGAAGTCAAACATTATTTTGAAAAAAAGTAAAAGAAAAGTGTCTTTTCGACGATGAAACTCAACGGAACACTGTGTATACTCTATTTGTTCTATTTCATAGATATAAATGGCGTCGAATGCAGGAGCTATTCATTTTCAAATTCGGCCAAAGTAGAAAAAATCTCTCCTACGAGAAGCATTGAAAATAACAAGGAAAATCTGACTAAAGTGGAAAAATATCGGGACAAACGTGCATTGGGTTTAATTTTGTCAGGCTTAGCTCAGATCTTTGGATACACTCCAACTCCAATACAATTGGCCACACTTCCAAATCCAGTTAAATCTGACAATAATCCTGGTGCATCTGGGAACAATCAAAGTTCTTTTATGCCACCGATGATACTACCTTTAAATTTGCCTAATCAAGTTGCCTTACGTTCTTCCACTCAGGCAGCAATGCCAATTTCGACAACAACGGCACAACCCAGACAAAAAGAAACGATCAGATTTACCGGTGTTGTCAATTTTGGTAATAGATCCGACGTGGTTGGACATTTGCAACAATACGAAAGAATATTTCACGGTAGTCAAACAACAAATCCTCCTGCATCATCGTCATCAACATCATCATCGATTCCTATACTTTCATCGACAACCCCATCATCTTTCAGTACAATGTCATCGTTTGATGTAAGAGAATCATTGAAATATAGGACACCTTTGTTAACTCCATACTTGGTCAAAATCCCTTTACCGATCGCACCTAATCTTCCACCTCCGATATCACCAACAACGAAGATTAATTTTTCTATTAAAAATACGAATATACCGCGTAGGAAGGAACAAGAAATTGTTTATAGAAAGAACGAGAATATAGTAAATTATAACGTGGAAAATAAAAAGATACAAAGTGAGAAGGATGTAGCTATACCGGAAAATAAATTTCAACATAACATTTATATCGGCGAACCTTATTGGAAAAAGTTGCACGAGGAAAGATTAACTCAGTTGGAACGTAAACAGCATGAATGTGCTGAGAAATTAAAGGAACGAGAGAAAGAACGGAATCATATTTATCGCAATGAGAATGATTCTAAACAGAGATTAATAGGAAGAGAGAGAGAACAAAATCATGATTATCAGAAAGAGGATCATTCTGGGCAAAAGGAAGGATCGAGGGATCGTGAAAATGATGATGGTGATGATCGTGAACGAGAGTATTCTTCGAATATTAAAGAAGATGGAACGCATGGAAATAATGAAGACGAAGAGTCTGAAAATTCACGCGAACCATACGAAGAACAACATCCAGGCTATCCAAGGGAAGGTCCTACGAATGAAAAGCAAAAAAATATCGAAGATTATGACGATTACGACGAAGATGATTCTTATAAAAATGACGAACGAAAAGAAAATTTAAAAGAACCGGGCACGAAAGTCTACGATAATAATTATACCAATGTGAATTACGATAAACCATTACCGATAAGTGATTATTATGAAAAAGAGAGACCACCCCAACAGCTTCGTGATAGTTACGGTGAAATTGTAGACAATCGTGCTTTGGTCGACGAGAGGATCGCTAATTATTACGGCGATGTTAAGAATCAACAAACTATACCTCAGGATTCTCCAAACATTTCTGATTTTATTGAGGAATCTGAAGAGAAGTACGAGGGAAGGCCCGAATCTAAAAATGATAAGCAAATTAACGAAGATCTATATAAAAAGCTCAGAGAGGAATATGCGATTATACCATTAGAAAATAAATACGAAGAGTATAATTTAGAAAATAATGATCAATCGGAAAAAGATATTAAAAATGAATCGGAAAATCCGAAATACGAGAATGATTCAACTTCGAATAAAAATGATCCAATTCAAAATAGCGAATCAACTCCATTCGTAGATAAGACTAATTCTAACGAATTGAAAATTAAGAAGGTAAGTAACATTCGTAATAATGTCATTCCGATAAAAAATAAATCATTTAACGAATTTGCTTTCGTTAAAAATTCGCCATACATTTTACCAATTCGATATGTTTACGGACCAGACGAACTTGAAGAAGCTAAAACGCGTCGTTTCCATTCCGAAAAAGTCACGAAAGAAGAAGATCATTCTAGTAACATCGACGAAAGGAGTACAACCGATGAGAAAAAATCACAAAAAAAGAAATTGAATGCCGAGGACCTAACTCCTAAAATAGGTCTTCCAGAAAGATTAACTGAGAAAAAATTGCACGAAGGGGAGAGGAAAGAACTACAAATTTGGCCTGCACCATTTGACTTCGTTTTTGATAGTACCGAACAAACAAACGTGCTCGTTCCTGTGATTATGAAAGAAAAATCAAGAGAAAATATATATCATTCACCTGTTATTCCTACTCGTACAATGATCTATGAACAAAATCCGAATACTTTAAGATATTTTGCACCATTTGTACCAATGCACTATAGGACCCATCAGCAGCCCACATTTTATCTTAATAAAAGATTTATATCGTAAAAAAAGAAATTCTAAATCATCAATCAGATTTATAATAATTTAGAAGAAAGAAGAAATGTATTACAATATAATTAATATAATAATTTTATGTTCTTTGATCACTCACGATATGTTATGTTGTATAGATTGTTTAAATAAATCTAAATTGTTATTATAAATGTAATATTATTGTTAACATTGTTCCTTCCCTCGAAACATAATATACATATAATTACTATATAATTCGTCGTTTGTTCCTATTAATAATAATCTTTTGTTACAGGCTAAAAATGAGGAGATAAAACGTCGCAGCATGTTAGAGAATAAAATGACCGAAATTTTAGAAAATTTGAAAACACGCTTATTGATCGAATAAAATAAAAACACATACAAACATACGATAAAGAATATTTATTTTACCAATTAATAATGTTCTTCACATTCATATGTATAATATCATCAAAAGTTGATCTATTGAAAATTATATTTATTATTAAAAATATAAACTAAAAGCGGCGTTACATATAGTTTGCCGATATGCAAAAATATGTTTATTTATTTAACAAAAGGTAAAAAACAAATATATTTAATCGATAATTACGATAATATAATAAAATGAACATTTTTAAAGAGCATCTTTATTTAAAAATATATATATATATATATATCTATATATATATATATATATATATACGTGTATATATTTACAATATAAGATTCAAATATTTGTCAAAGAATCTTTGCTATTATTATACTGTCCCTATATATATGTACAATAAAAATGCGATATATTATCATCGTGCAATAAAATATGAAGCAATATACAACACTGGTAGAGAGCAGTCAAGAAATTTATAAATGGACATCATCATCGTCACGATATGAACTATGTTAATGATATAAATATGATAATGATTTTCTTTCAGTATTAATTTAATGTAATATAATTAAAATATTCTTAATTATATAACGAAAATCGTTTGTTTGTGCATCATCAAATAGATACTTGTGACTGATAGTAAAATCATCTGCCCAACTTAATTCTACCAATTTGTCTTTTGCTATAAATGATTTATGATGGCAATTCTATTTACTTCCCTTCTCTCTCTTTCTCATTCTATCTCTCTCTTTCTCTCTGTGTATGTGTGTGTGTGTATAATCCAATGTAAAATATCAATTATTAATGTGCAAATTATTAAAAACAGAAGTTATTGCTGTTGAATTTTGTCGAAATATTTACAGATTAATACCATTACGTGTAATCATAAATAAGCTACCATACCAGATTCTATACTAAGCGCGTGCAAAATTTTTTTTTTATATATATGAAAAAATAAATGTGAATTCCTGTATAATCTAAGTTTGTTAAGTACAGTGCAATTATTTGTAGGCAAGTTCACTTTCACATTTTAAACAGTTAAGACACACATTTATCAAATTTTAATGATCGTTATGATGGCGGTGCATCATCTTCGCTTTTTGCATATGTTCTTAATTTTTTTTTTATATTTTTGTTTGTAATATTATCCATTCCTTTCGATTTTTCTATTCCTCATTATACTTCCGATTACCTGTTAAATCTTTTCTCATAAGATTATGAAGCGATTTATTTATACTATATCACATCTTTTTACCGTGAATTCTTTCCACTTCTCCATGAAAAACATGTCAAATGAAAAGATTCGTCTTTGTATGTTGATAATTTTGTCAATGATGGATCTAAAATCTCTTTTATCAGCCATATTTTTTACTGTTACGTTTTCTATGTTCATCCATTGCGCATATTGATATCTAAGGCTGATAAAAATTAAACTTCCCTCAAAAGGGTGAAGAGTTTCACTCGCTGATGATAGTGAAGCGTCGTTGTTTCAATCAGTATCCGTTATTTTTCTTCTAATAGCACCATCCAATGTAGGAGGTCCAGGAATTAATAATTTTTCTTTCAAACATTGATAATTTTGTAGCCTACATACTGCATAATCCTATGTATGTACATAGAATAATAAGATAAAATATTCAAACTGCTAGTTGTAAAGTGCAATTATTTAATTTTTTTTTTATTATGATATATTGTGCATTTTCTTTCTTTTTTAATGATATATTGTGCATTTACCCAATATCCAAATGGTATTTCAGATAATTTGGCATTGACGATGCTCCAAAGGCCCCAAAACAGGTGACTGGCTAACGAAAATACTTTTATTTCCATCATAATACGTTCTTCTTCTGCCTGAGATTCCTTCTGGACTGTTCTCAAGTAACTCTTGATAAAATCGAGCTGTCGGAAGAATATAATGATTAGTATCACGTATAAATACATATTTTCAAAATCAATTTTCATCTTTAATTAATTATTTATCTATCTAATGATAGCAAACAAATTTAACAACATGTATGCTAACTAGTTGTGTTACAAATTGATATGTACATTATCTAAATTTGATCTTATATGTTTGCCTTGAAAGTTAAACATATCTCTATATGACATTTCTCTTTAATAATAAATTAAAATTGAACAAATATCTCTTGAAAAAATTATAAAGGTATGTTTAACTGGAAAATAAGATATGAATTTGCAGCTTTTGGTTTTTGTTATATATATATATATAATATGTTAATATATATATATATTATATATATATATATGTGTGTGTGTGTGTACAGTGTATTTTCTTTTCGCTTTAACTTAATTAAAATATTCTTAGAAGTAATACAGAATGTGTCCCCTAGTTTTACTTTTATATAACTTGTTGTTTTCGTCAATTAAAAATGATATAAATTATGCGATTAAAAGACACAAAGTTATGCCTTTGCTTCTAAACACTCTCGTGCGTCTTTTACAATTTTTTTATTAAATAAATAATTATTAATTCGCACGAGTAACATTAACGCGTATCTTGATCTCATGACATTTTCTTTTGGTTTTTTTTTCTTTTGTTTCTAAACGATCGACCATAGAATCATTGAGCCAAAATAAAAGAATGAACTAAGCAACTCTTGAGTAATCGTCATCCCAAAAAAAAAAAAAAGAAAAAAAAAAGAAAAAAAAATTAAAAGAACACACACAGTTGCATCGAGAATCTACGCAGATTATGGATCAACTATCGTGAGTGCGTGTAAAAGTACTCTAGGTTCGTAGACGAGCAGATGTGGGAGGGTGTGCTGTCGCCATGGGTAGATGGCACAGGTGGTTCTGGTTCCATAACTTGGAGAGTACGAGTCAGGATACGTCGCAGTGGCAAGATTCATATGCCGCCCAATTTATCCCGATAGCGTGCATCGATCCTGTCTCTCCCGTGAATTGCAGTCCTGTGAAACTAATACATACACACGCAACACACGCCAAGGTGTCACCCTTCTCGCAAATAGAACAACACAACAAAGGGGTAACGCGTGGTTCTCGCACGGATGTTGTTGTACGTATCTCGTTTATCAAGTATCAAGAAAGGGATCGCAATAATTATTGGAAGCAAAAGGACAATCTTCGCTAATTTTTTCATTACTGCCCTAATATAATGATAATGAGAAAATAATAATAACAACAACAACAACAACAACAACAACGACAACAATAATAATAATAATAATAATAATAATAATAATAATAATGATAATAATAATAATCAATAAAAGAAAAACACAGAAAGAAAAAACAAGAGACGTACTTTAGAACAAGTGCGAGTTTCATTACGACATCTTAAACGTTATGATGTTCGTTCGAGAACATGATGATAATATAATATAATATAATCGAATGCAAAACATTGTTGTGCATTTGTTATGCAAGGACGTAGGAGGAAGTGCTCCTAACGATGATAAAAAAAAAAGAAGTAGTATAGTCGGGGAAAAAAGCTGATGAAAGCCTTACCAATTTTCTTTTTTATCTAATTTTGCGACCCTTCCCCAGTATGCCGCTAACTTACCTTCTGCTCTTTCGTAGGTCCAGCCCCTGTTCGTTCATGGAAGAATGGATATTTCGCCGCTGTGTAATCGTACTGCCATTCGATGAAATGATTAGCGATATCAAAACCTCGGTAGTTGTAGGAACAATACTCAAAGTCGATAACAACCAATTCGGTCTTTCGCGAATTTTGCCGAAGAAGGATGTTACCCTCTTGCATATCGTTATGACAAAATACGACTGGATGTTTTTCTTGTGCAACGAGGTCTCTAAAGGAAGGAGAGAAAAAAGAAAAGAAGCAAAAATGAAGGACCCAATTATGAAACGACACACGCGTTACATAGTTAGAAAAATTTATAACTTTTTATACCTGAACCAATTAATCTCATGTTCGAGATCGATCGATCGCAAAACGTAGACGTTATCGTGTTGGCGCGGATCAATCTCATCAATATTTTCTAAAATATCTGTCGCCGTAGCAAGCCACTTGGTCATAGTATCCCATAGCCAAGTTGGTTCTTTACTAATTGGAACTTGCATAGTATGTATCTGTCCCAATTTTTCAGCTATCATCAAGCTCAATGTTGGATCGGACAATTCTTTAGTTAACAATGGTCTAGCCGGTATATACTCTTCTATACGGCCTCCGGGAAATATACCATGTAATTTTGGGCCAAGTCGCCTCTCTGAAAGTAGCGTGAAGATGACCGATTCGGTGATAAGTCCTTCCAACGCCCTTTCCCCATGTACTTGACCGTACAGTCGTAATAAAACTTGCCGCGGCTCGCCGCGTATCGGGACAGCACCGTCTGGCAGCTGAACGTTGTAAAGCCAATTACTGAGGCCTCCACTATAAAGAGAGAAAGAAAGAAAGAGGAGGAGAAGCGGGAAAAGTATATTTTAATAATCAATAATTATTTATAATGAATTATTTTAACCTGATATAAACAATAAATCGTCTAATAATTCCGATTAATAATATATAACTTTAAGATTCTGAAAGTGTTTATTGAACGATCTAAGATCTACCAACCTGATACGTTTAAGGGTGATATTCTCTGCTGTAACTCGTTTCCAAACACCATGAAGATAATCTCGACAGATACGAGCAGCTGTTTCCCTCATCTCGAAATTCTTCTCTGACATCTGTACGAGAGCAAATAAATAAATAAATAAATAAATAAATAAAAAAAAAAAACTAAGTCATTTCATTAGTACATCGTAAAACATCGCAAAGAGAGATTTGTGCAAACGATAAATCGTCATATACATTCACCAACATATATATATATATATATGATAAGAAGATAAAAACATGTAAGAAAGAAAAGAACAAAACAGTGCTTTGCAAGTTAATCTAAGGACAATATAAAAACGTGAAAAGATAGAAGAGAACGTGTTGCGTGCCATAACCTTAATTATTACTCTTGGCATATCGAACCTGCTGCTTTAAAACAGTAGTTAAAGATATATTCAATTTGTGCGCTTTCTATCAATTGGAAATTTTAAAATGATGCCGCGCTTTTAATAGAAGTAGAAGAGTTTAGAAGTAGAAGAGGAAGAGACGAAGAGACACGCCTTCGTATCCTGCAAATGACGCAGATTCCTCGTCGACGTTATTCCTGATCGTTTCATCGACGTTAATTCAATGGGTTCCGAGCACAATGAAGAAGAAATAGTAGAATAGTAGAAGTAGAAAAAGAAGAAGAAGAAGAAGAAGAAGACGACGATGACGACAACGACGATGCGATGCACAAAACACTATTATTTATAATACTTTTATCCATAAATATGATACTGAAGTTTCGTTAATCGTAGACACACACTCTGCAAGTGAGAACAAATATGTATAATTCTTTTACACATTCCTATTTTCTTATTACTTTTTTCTTTTTACTAAACTGCAATAACACACGTCAGAAAGAAGAATATCTTTAAAATTTACTAATTTTTTTTCTTTTCTTCTCTTTTTTCTTTCTTTCTTTTTTGCTTTTTTTTTTTGAAAAATACCGCATCAATTATCTTTCCGAGATTATTCTCATCAGAAACATTCTCGTACTCCCATTTCTGTAGTCTACGAAAAATGAATCAAGGCATGCGCATCATACCGATCGATGTTCCATTTCAAGTAGCTATATCTAATCATTCCTTCTACGTTAGATACCCTTCACTTCGTGATACGTTTTCTCTAGAAAGTCTTATCGATGACGTTAATAATACATCAACACTTGTTTTTTATCATTTCTAAAAAAAAAAAAAAAAAAAAAAAAAAAGAAACAAAAAAGAAGTTATTCATGTTCTCCTTTCGCTAATTATTCAATCCTGTTTACCGCAATAAAATTGTTGCGCCATTGATATTTTGAAATGCTTAAAAAATGGCGCCAACTCTTCTTACACCATCTGCTGGAATTGCGATAAACTAAACGCAAACTTCGCACAGCATAAGAGAAAAATAAATTTCTTTTATTAAGATTTATAATAATAAAAATATAAATGAAACGTAAAATATCAATGAGAAGTAATTTTTGATGAAATAATTGAAATTATTTTCCTTAATTTTGTGAAAATATTCCTTATATTCGAGCTAGAGTGTTTTTCGAGATTCTTATCAAGAGATACGACAAGCTGATTATCCAATACGATCACTTTTTTAAATTATCTTTCAGAAATAGACTTCGACATTGATTTTCTTATAGAGCTTTAACATCACGTACAAAAGATGAAGAAAAAAAAACAGAAAGAGGATAAGAGAGAAAAAAAAAATATACAGTAAAGTTGTAAGCAACGAAAACAACAATGTATCTTAAATCTCGAAGGCTATTGGTGAGACATCTGACGCATGTCGAACGTAGTTACAATGGAATGTTTTTTTGCTTACAATCTTTTACCACGCAAAAGATTATAAAAATCACATTTATGACATTTGGAATAATGGAATAAGTGATAACTCCTACAACATTTTCATTCATTTTAATGTTTACAAAAAAAAGAACGATAAAAGTGTAAAAATAAATTTCCAAAAGTATGCCATATTCTCCATTTATGTATACGCACCTTATTTTCCACGCCCATTGTTGCTTTGTCCAAGTTGTACGATATATGATAATATTTCAATAAAGAATATCTACCGATTGGATGGAGTAATTGATAAATATCACTTTGTTTTTCTTTCTCCTTTCAAACTGGCTGCCGAAAAATTAAAAAAAAAAAAATCACGCGATAGACATACAAGCAGTAGTGTATTAGTAATAGCAATTAATAGTAATAGTTTATATATACCGGCGTGTCGATCTAATTTGATCTAACTTGTTTTTTTTCTTTTTTTTTTTTTTTCGTTTCTTTTCTTCTAATTTTCTTGCTACTTTACATACGGAAATATGGCGTTAGATTATTCTAGGCCACGATTGTTTATTCGGATAAGGAAGGATTGATATTATTGGTTATGTTTTAACGTCGGATAATAAGAAAAAGAACAGTACGAATGGAATAATGGAGAATGTTCTAAGATAAGGAACAAAAAAGAAAGAAAAATAGATAGAAAAATAGATAGAAAGAAAATGAGAGAGAAAGAGAGGAAGGGTGAGTTATACACTTTTAAACTATATAGAAGAATATTTACTAGCGTAGAAAAAAACAGATAGCTGTCACGACACGTCAATCTTTTGAAAACGTTGAAACGAAAATGAAATGGTTAGCGATTCACGCATTAGAATGAGCTGTAAGTTAGTTTGTAGCCAAGTTCCCGAGGACAATGGTAGGAGTATAGACTGGGGGAAGGATGGGGACAAATAATCCTAAACGCGGAGCTGTAAAAGCCAGTGCACGCTCATTTGTTACATATTGATGGCAACGTGCCAATGAGAATCATACGAGTATGATATTAACCAATCATCTTTTAGATAAAGAAAAAATGGTGTTACTTTCTGTATATTACTCAGATAATAAACATTGACTAAATAACATCAAGGAAATAATAATAAGAAACTCATTAAGAAAGGAAATGCATCGATGGTAATTCTCATGTTATTATTGTATCATCTAACCGTAAGATTCCACATTTCCACATGACCTTGCATGTAAATTATTCTTTTGTTCGTATTATGTCAGTGTTACAAACTGTTAAAACTAATAATCCTCAAAAAATAGGTCATTGTTTTCTTTGACTAATATTCTGTTGTATCTTCTTAGAATAAATATCTGTTGAGATTATTGTTGTTATTTGACAAAAAAAAGAAAAAAAGAATTGTTTCAAAGGAAAAAATTGTAATATGCAATATGATAAATAAGATTTACAGATAATGAATGCTTATCGAAATATATTTACACAGTCGAGAAAATTTTTCGTTGAATAGTTTTTGCTAAAAACACAAACATGTATGATTCATCACGTATATTGTTGTTTACTCTTACTTATTACACTTCGACCTTCTACTATTTATCTGTCTACTTTAATTGCACTCCTCGTATCAAAAAGGCCGAGCAATTTATTAAATTATATTTCCGGTATCAACATACTATTAAAATTACTTATTAAAATTTAAGCGACATTATGTATCGAATTGGTTGGATTAAACATTCATTAAATTCTACCGTCGCATTAGCAAAGAACGTGCGTAATAATTTTTCTCACATACTTTCCGGTTTTATCGTTATCGTCGTGCGATATTAAAACGTCTTATATTTAATTACTTATGTATATAAGATCGAACGTTCAACATGAGAGTATTTTTATTTCATATAGAAAAATAATTTTAATAGTTTATCTAATCAATAATTATATAAATATATATATATATAAGATATGAAATAAAAAAGGCACTAATTTAAATAGTACAGTCGTCATTTAAAATAGATCATTAGAAAGCAAAAAAAATAAACTCGTAATTAAAAAAGAAAAAAAAAAATGAATAATTTATAGTATACATAAACGTATTGATAAATATTATATTACTGTGCTATAAAAAAAACTTGTATTGGAGGAATGTGCTCGATGATTACAATTAAAACAATAAGAAATCAATTGAAAATATACCTTCTAGAATCTTCTAACAATGAAAATATACGAACAGTTTGATTTCTAATTAGTTTAGGTTATGTGGCTCGTTCAGTGTTCACGTTACGAAGTTCACGTTATACGATGTTACATACATGTGTATACCATACAACGACGAAATTTAATCTTTCGTCTACACTTTATGAATTTATTAGGTCGATTTCGTGGAAATGACATCGAACAGGAAGATTTTCTTAAATCTGCGTATTGTCGTTTAAAAAGATGATTATATTCGATGTTATCTTTTCGTTACGTATGCATCGCTAAGTACTTATTATATATATATATATATATATATATATATATGTAATTTGTAGTTTAAGTGTACTTGAAGAATGATAGCAAGAAAATTGACGTAGTTAGTTTCTTAGGATTGTTTGAATTAAATTGCATAGATTATGCCCTTGTGAGCAGCATACATTGGTATCATTAGATTTCACGTTTTCTTCCTATTTCCTCGATCTTATCAATTATGAAGATAGGTTAAGTGCATTCGCAAAATGTGCATCAGCAAATTTCAAAATAGTAAGTGTAATTGCATATAATGCAGTCTATGATACGTGATGGAATGTAAGAAACGTTAATATACGTCTTGTATAATCGAAATATTTTACCTTATCGACTCAAAAGATAAGCTTTACTACAAATGGTCCAATAAAACTTGTATGACGTCGTATTTACGTATTTCTTAATCACAATAAAAATTCTTCATAAATATATCGTATTTGAACGACGATAAGAACAATTTATATCATTAAAATTGTGAAATATCCAGATTTAATGACTTATTTATTATACTAGAGGTGTAGAATTTAAAAAAGCCTCTATAATTTCTCTTTCAGATTCAATCTTTTTTCTTTTTTTTTCTTTTCTTTTTTTTTTTTATGTGTGTATTTAAAAAATAAATCTTTATCATTTTAAACTTTTCGTTTCAAAAAATTTATATACTTTTTCATATCGGTCCAATATAAATGACATAAAATGTATCTTTTAAATTTATATTTTAAATAAAGTGAAAAAGAATAGAAAAAAAAATAAAGTAGCTATGATTAAAAAGACATTAATCCGAAAATTATCATGTTTTTGTTTCCCCACAAATTTTTTAATAGTTCCTATCTACGTAACAACCTTGATTCAATTTAGAAATGAGCAAGTAGTATTTTCAGACATCAGCAATCGAGACAGTTTAATTCTGAATACACGTGTTATTCATTAAGATTTATTCGATTGATTAATACATTTACGATCTTCGTTCGAATGTGATAATTATTAGAAAATATTTTTACTATTTCTAATGATCTATTTTAAATGAAGTAACAATTTTAATTGTTTTTAAAAGACAAATTTTAAATGACGACTGTACTATTTAAATTAGTGCCCTTTTTTATTTCATATCTTATATATATATATATATTTATATGGTTATTAATTAGATAAATTATTAAAATATGTGCTTTGAAAGAAGAAAATAGTTGAAAATAGAAAGATTAATTTTTATCGATTTTCCGATAAAAATTCGTAATGAGAGAAAAAGAGAAAGAAAAGTAATTTTTTATTTTACAGATAAAGACAATTAACATGTACGACGCAAAAAGTTGCAACTATTAATTTCTAATGACTGATGATGGTACCTGCTATGACTAAGATGCATTTATTATACCAAACTAGTCGTACTCGCATAAATTGCACTAATACTATTATTTTTCTTTTGTTTCGTATATATTTATTATGCATATATCATTTGTGCGATACAATACATTTGAAACTTAAGCCTGATAAATTCATTAGTTAT